AAACAAACAAACAAAAGCAAGGATCATAATAGACATACCCTGTAAGTGCAAACATTTTTAGATGGTTGTTTTGATTAGCAGCAGATGTACATACAGTTGTGGAAGGAGGGAGGGAAGAATGAGGGTGGACCCACATTCAGTCAACAAAGATGGATTTACACAGAGGCAGAACCAGAAATTGTCCTACCAGGCCTGGCTCAGGAGCCTGACCTTCCTGTTCCAGGGAATGGTGGTGAATGCCTTTAATCCGGGCACTCAGGAGGCAGAAGCAGGTGGAACTCTTTGAGTTCCAGGCCAGCCAAGGATACACAGTGAAAACTTGCCTCAAAACAACAACAATAAACAATATAGATAATAAAAGATTCCCACCTGCCCAGCTAGAATCTGCTGTTGGGTGTAGATGGAACCAGAGCCCCAAATATCCTGGACATGAACTTTACCACTGACCCACATGCAAGGCCTCAAAATGGGTGGAATGCACCCTGGAGGCCCTTGCTCCTGGTTCAGGCTCTGAATGACTCAGGCTTTATCAGCCTTGCTTCCACAGCCCTGTCAAATCACACTATGCAATCAGTAGTGCCTGAAGCTCCCAACCTGGGAGGCTGCAGTCCCATCCCCAGCAGCTGCCTGGAGCAGCAGAAGAGACTGTTGATTACACATGCAGCTTTGTAAGCTTCTCTTCGCTCATCTATGAATAGTCCCTTCCCTTCCTTTCCCAGGATGCCTTGGAAAAGGAATGGGAGGCCGGAATCCTTCAGAAAGTGAGTACTAACTCCCCATGTTGTGGAATATTAGTTTAAGAATGAATGTCTTACCTTCATTTATACTGTGGAATGTTTGTTTAATGATGCAAAGATAGGTTGCATTCTTTTATGTTGCATATTATGTTTTTTGTTTATTTTTTTTCCTTTTTTTTTTTTGGTTTTTCCAGACAGGGTTTCTCTGTGTAGCTTTGTGCCTTTCCTGGATCTCACTCTGTAGACCAGGCTAGCCTCGAACTCACAAAGATCCACCGACCTCTGCCTCCCAAGTGTTGGGATTAAAGGCATGCGCCACCACCGCCCGGCTTGTTTTATTTTTGCAAGACAGGGTTTCTTTGTGTAATAGCCCTTGGTTGTCCTGGAACTCACTTTGTAGATCAGGCTAGCCTCCAACTCACAGAGATCCACCTGCCTCTGCCTCCCAAGTGCTGGGATTAAAGGCCACCACACCTGGACGTTGCATTTGTTTAACTCTGTGAAGCTGTGTTACTTTGCCTGCCTAAAACACCTGATTGGACTAATAAAGAGCTGAATGGCCAATAGCTAAGCAGGAGAAAGGATAGGCAGGGCTGCCAGGCAGAGAATAAATAGGAGAGAAGGAAAAAAAAAGGAAGATAAAGAAAAGGAGAAGGAGAGGAGGACACCAGGGGCCAGCCACACAGCCACACAGCCAGCCATGGAGTAAGAAGGAAAGAAAGAGATATAGAATAAAGAAAGGTAAAAAGCTCAGAGGCAAAAGGTAGCCAGGATAACGTAAGAAAAGCTGTCTAGAAACAAGCCAAGCTAAGGCTGCGTATTCATAAGAAAGAATAAACCTCTGTATATTTATTTGGGAGCTGGGTGGCAAGTCCCCAAAGAGTAAAAGAGAAGAAAAAAAAAACTACATTCACATTATACAGTTGGGAGTGAGGGTGGGACCTTTGGACAAGCCTTCGACCTTACCATTCAGTCATCTATGCATTCCTTCACTCAAAACACATTCAATGAACCCCTAAAGACAACAAAAAATGTTGTGTGACAGGCAAAGCGCACAGCAAATCCTAAGCAGAGAAAGGAAATGTTGGTGAGGGCAGCTGTTTCTTGAAATGCAGTTTAGTGTTGTGGATGAGAGCATAGGCCTTGGAGGCTAAGTCCTGACCTTGTGACTTGTTAGGTGCACAACCCTAAGAAGAAGCAGGGATGCTTTTGAGGTTATTGTGGGGTTAGAATAGAGTAGATGCCTGATAAAGAGCTACCATAAGAGGGAGGCGGTGTGTAGCGGGGTGTTCCTGGGCATCAGGAGGGCAGGGTGTGGTGATTAGTGGCAAAGGAAGAAGATGCAGGGTTTATATGCAATTCCCTTTGGCCATTGCACACCCTGTGGACAGAAGAGGAGGCCAGTACACTGGGACACTGAAGGTTACAAACAGCTTAAAGAACAGTGCGGTGGGGGCTGGAGAGATGGCTCAGTGGTTAAGAGCAATGCCTGTTCTTCCAGAGGTCCTGAGTTCAACTCCCAGCACCCACATGGTGGCTCACAACCATCTGTAATGAGATCTGGTGACCTCTAATGACCTGCATTCATACATGCTGTATACATAACAAGTAAATAAATCTTAAAAAAAAAAACAAAAAGCAGTGCAGTGACACAGACAGTTTTCACAAGACAGCACGCACACCTAGCACCAGCTAACACCCCCTAAATTTAGAGTCACAGTCGGTGAGGTCAAATGACAGGGTCTCCAAAGCTGGGGAGCCAGCTCTGGGGATTTGCTTCGCTGTTGGCCCATGTTCTAGATTCTGCTCATCTAGAAAGGTCCATTCCTGCTGTCTATGGCTGTGATGAAATGGACCAAAACCAACTTGAGAGGAAAGGGTTTATTTGGCTTATATGTCCAGATCACAGTCTATCACTGAGAGAAGCCGAGGCAGGAACTCAAGCAGGGCAGGAACCTTGAGACAGGAACTGAAGCAGAGGAATGATGCTTACAGGCTTGATCCTCATGGCTTGCTGGGTTTTTTTGTTTGTTTGTTTGTTTTTTTGTTTTTGTTTTTGTTTTTTTTGTTTTTGTTTTTTGTTTTTCGAGACAGGGTTTCTCTGTGTAGCTTTGCGCCTTTTCCTGGAACTCACTTGGTAGCCCCGGCTGGCCTGGAACTCACAGAGATCTGCCTGCCTCTGCCTCCCAAGTGCTGGGATTAAAGGCATGTGCCACCACCGCCCGGCTATTGCTCGGTTTGTTTTTAACACATCTGAGGACCACCTGCACAGTGGTCATGCCACCCACAATGAGCTGGACCCTTCTGCATCAATCATGATCAACAAAACGCCCCCACAGAGTTGCCCACAGGCCAATCTAGTGGAGGCATTTTCTCAGCTGAGGTTCCGTCTTCCCGGATGACTTTAGCTTGTGTCACTGACAACAACAACAACAAAACAAACAACAAAAACCTAGCCAGCATACTTGACTGTCCCTGGAAGCAGTTGAGCCCTGGAACCAAGAAGAGCCATTTCCTTTCATAGGAACTGGAGAACACACATCTCCAGAAAGCCAGAGTGAAGCTAGCTTCAAGATTAGGAGAGGGCTGAGCATGGTGGTGCATGCCTTTAGTCTCAGCACTTGGGAGGCAGAGGAAGGTGACTCTGTGAGTTCAAGGATAGCCTGGTCTACATGGTAAATCCCAGGACAGTGAGGACTATGTAGAGAGACCCTGTCTCCAAGAAGAAGAAGAAAAAAAAGACTAGGATAGGCCTCTAGTCAGGTGGCCAATGAGGAGATGGAAGCAGAAGCCCCAGACAGGCTGATCAGGTTCATGATCACTGTCCCGAGCTTCTTTGGTCCTATTTGGAAGTGAGGCCCACTGAGGGCCAAGACTTTGCCCAGCACAAATGGAGCTGAGGAGAATCTTTGCTGGGAGGATGCGAAGGAGAGCAAGGGTCAGAAGCCGTCAGCTCCAAGCTAAGGACAAGCAGGCACTGAGGCTCTGAGGGCCATTTCAAGTGAGAGAAGCCTCACTGGAGGAGATGTCACTTGGGAGGATGGGGGTCAGGGCGCCTCCATTCTCGCTCCGTTGACTTGGCTCACTTCGTGTGACCTCTCCTTGGCCTCTGTTTGTTTTCAATAAAAGAAGATGGTTTTATTAATAAGACCTCAGAGGTCCTTCATAGCTTAGAATTCTAACATCTCAACTCTACCAATGCCTGAGCTCTTAGGACTTGAAGTGTTGGGATTGGATCTAAATACTAAAAGGAACTCCAGAATAGCTAGGTCTGAGAAAGGGTGTGATGATGGTTAATGTCAACTTGATAGAATCTAGAATCACCTGGGAGACAGGTCTCTTGAGAATGCCTATAGGGGATTCTCTCTCTCTCTTTTAGATTTATTTTATGTGATTTTAGTATTCTGCCTGCATGTATGTGTGTGTACCTTGTGTGAGCCCATGAAAGAGGGAGTTGAATGCCCTGAGTTGGGAGTGGTTGCTACCTGTCATGTGGGTGGTGGGAATTGAACTTGGGTCCTCTGCAAGAACAAGTGCTCTTAATGCCTGAGCTATCTTTCCATCCCTGTAGGGATTGCGATGATCTTGACTGCATTAACTGAGGCAGGAAAACCTTTCCACTTGGGTGGCACCATTCCCTGGCTGGAATTCTGGACTGTGTACGTGATAAGGAGGCTGAGCAGCAGCAGCAGCAGCATCCGTCTCTCTGCTTCCAGATGGATGTGATGTGAACATCTGCTTCAAGCATCTTCTACCTTGATTCCCCACCGTGGGGGACTGGTACCCGTGAACAGCAAGCCAAAGGTGAGCCCTTCCCTTCACTTGCTTTTGTCAGAGTATTTTAATTGCACTAACAGATAAAGAAATGAATACAAGCCGGGCGGTGGTGGCGCACGCCTTTAATCCCAGCCCTCGGGAGGCAGAGCCAGGTGGCTCTCTGTGAGTTCGAGGCCAGCCTGGTCTACAGAGCGAGATCCAAGACAGGCACCAAAACTACACAGAGAAACCTTGTCTTGAAAAACCAAAAAGAAAAAAAAGAGAAAAGAAAAATGAATACAAAGGGCTATTCACAGCTCTCAACCCTCAGGTCATGTGAGTGCTTCCGATGTAGGAAAGGACTATGGGGAAAAAGTAATGGAGGCAGGTAAGGCAGATGGCCTGCCCAAGCTCCTGACACCTCCAGAGCAAAGGTAGCTTTCTTTTGTTCCTCTCCTAACTCATGCTACCTCAGGAGCCCGTGGAAAAGCTGCATTATAATCGATAGCCTCATAAATAAGTGAAGAGGCGACATAAAACACCGTGTCTCCAGTACAGGGCTTCCTCAGGAGAACGGACCTCGACCCACTTCTGCTCAACATCCTGACTTTCTGCGGCAGTTTCCGAAGGGAGGGAACTCTTAAGAGTCACCTCAGGCATGCCTCCGCTTCTGTGCTGGCCTCGATGCACCCTCATCCAAGAGGTCAAGAGCTGAGAAATGCGCTTTTTCCTACCACGCCACCCAGGTGAGGACACCCTCTCCTATCAGTCCCCCATAGGCAGGCTGCGCCCGCCCTTCATCATGGCCTCCTTTGTTCTCTCCCTCCTGGTACGCTTTGCCCTCTGTGTTCGGTTCTGGCCTTCTGCTTCTCACCTCCTCAGGCTTCATGACTTTCTTTGGACAATGGCTTTTAGAGCACATAGAATCAGCAGGAAGAGGAAAGCAACTGACCCCCACCCCTCTGTCCCCAATTATAACCACCTCAGAAGCCTCCGTGTGGGCTGTAAATGAGAAGGTCTGAAGGAGAGAAATGCATTTCTGAGCATAAGACACCAAGACTCCAGTAACTGACTTCACACAACAGCCATGTGTGAACCAGCGAGTTGACAGGAAGGCATTTCTTTTTGTCCGTGACTTCTCGACACCTGTAGGAGGCATGGCGGTCTTTGAGCTCACTATAAGCACTAAGGGAATGTGGAATGTTAGCACACAGGGTTGTTCCTTCCAGGACAGGAATGCAATACCTGTTATCTGCCCAGAAAGCTGGAGCACCCCTAGCCCGTGACCTCTGCACTACCGTGTGGTCAGAGATGTTTCCGCCACCAGATCCTCCCCCAGACCCTATCCTAAGCTTGTTCTTCTCAGTCAATCTACAGAACCCATCTTTATGGACTTTACAAAGAGTTTTGATGGAGTCACGTCTGGTGTGTGTTTAGCTTACCTTGTTCCTCAAGGAGGTGTATGTATGCTTTGTTGTGCATGACGGATTGAGTTAATTATCAGCAGAATAGTTTGCACCAAATTGTCCTGGGCTTAAATATGTTTAAAATAAACCACTTGGGCTGGGCGGTGGTGGCGCACGCCTTTAATCCCAGCACTCGGGAGGCAGAGGCAGGCGGATCTCTGTGAGTTCGAGGCCAGCCTGGGCTACCAAGTGAGTTCCAGGAAAGGCGCAAAGCTACACAAGAGAAACCCTGTCTCGAAAAACCAAAAAAAAAATAAAAAAAAAAAAAAATAAATAAAAAAATAAACCACTTGGGCTCAGACTCCTGAAATGTGAACCAACACTGGCTACTGAGTCGAGTTGGTCCTGACTGCTTTTTGGCCTCTCTACAGCCTTCTAAGGCCAAAGGGACCCCTGAATACTGTAACAAGAGCAAACCTCCAACAAACACCCCCAGACCAAAATGGTGGCCATTCCTGTGTGGAGACAGACAACAACCTTCTGAGTGCGCCTAGAAACTCCTCAGCGCTCTCCTCTGCTGTGCTGCCTCAGTTTCCCCTCCACTCTGGCCATGGCACGAGTTGCCCCCAGAACTAACGGTGTTCGGTGTTGCTGGGGTGGTTGGCATGTAGAAAGGAGTTGTAGGGTTATATGCCAGCCCTCCTTGTCCTCAGTTACTCTGTCCTGGTGAATCCCTTTAAGCCTCTGACCAGGAGACCTCTCACTTGCTCTCTGTCTGATCTATGCATGTGATGTTTGGAATGAGGTTTCCCTGTGAGTTACCATGGCAGCGTTTTACTCATGTGTACCACTCAGATGCAACATCCAAAGTCATCTATCCTTTTGTTTGTTTAGTTGGGTTTTTTTTTTTTTTTTGAGACAGGATTTCTCTGTGTAGCCTTGGCTGTCCTGGAACTCACTCTGTAGCCCAGGCTGGCCTCAAACTCAAGACAAGAGATCCGCCTGCCTCTGCCTCCTGAGTAATGGGATTAAAGGTGTGCACCCCCACCCCTCGGCTGTCCTCTTATCTGAAGGAGGCCATCAGGATGATGCCTCTGTAGTCCCCCATCAGCCCTCCCCAGGACACATGTGAGCAACAGTGTTGTTCTGAGACATCTATACTGGCCTTCCCAGCCCCAGCACTGAGGATGCGGGCTTGACTGTCCCAGGATGGTGCTCTGCCTCAGAGGCGGTTGGCAACCAGGCATTTGGCTCTGGCTTGACCCGACAGAAAGTAGCTTTAGTACCCCCAGGAAGTGGCACAGAATTATCTGTCTGGTCCCTTGCAAGAGGCAAAAGTAGCCATTAGCACAGGTTAGCAGACCTGGAAAGCTGGTCACTAGTTTACAAAGCTGCTTTGAGACCTGCTCCATGGTAGCCCAGGCTGGCCTTGAATTCCTGATGCTCCCAACCTCAGCCTCCTAACTGCTGAGAGTACAGGTGTGCGTACCATGCCTGGTGGTAAACAATGGATTCCTGACCCTACAATCTATAATAACTGGACCTCGTGGTCCCTGCCCCTAATCCCAGCACTCAGGAGGTGGGTACAGGAGGACCAGGAATCAGAAGTCAAGGAGGATTACCCAGTGAGTTCAAGAGTCTCAAAGAATACCAAGGACTAGAAACGGAGCTTGGTAGGAGGGCACCTGCCCAATACGCCACAGCAGCACTCACTCACACACACACACACACACACACACAGAAACAGACAGACAGACACACACACACACTCACTCACACACACACACAACACACACACACACACACAGAAACAGACACACACACACACACACACACACACAGACATAGAGTGACGCAGCAACATCTGGTCTTAGCTCTTACAGCCAAAAGTTCCAGGCTGCTCTAGCGCAGAGGCCCACACTTAGAGTGCCCAGCCCTTGCTCTCCAGTAGGGCCCTGAGGTCCAGCCCCAGGCTCCTGGCTCTACCCAGAAACACAGGCTGGGGCTGGCGCCCAACACATGGGTTGTGGCTGTCACCAGAGAGGAGCTGGCAGCCGACACAGCAGACTATGTTTTCTTTGCAGGCTGAGGGTAACCAGAGGAAGCTGAGAAGTCTGCTCTGCTTCGAGGACGAGAGGAATAGAGGATCAGAGAACCAGGCAAGGCCAGCAGCTTGCCGAAGGGAGGAACCCTCTAACTTCTAAGATAAACATGGAGTGGAGACCAAAGATGGGTGGGGTGCTAAGGACCCACAAAATCCCTGGGTCCTGTTAGGAGCTATTCAAGTGTGTCGTGGTGGTAGCTAGCACTTATTAAATGTCTTGCGCTAACCACTATGCCCAAAACTAGGTTATACCAGGAAGTCAGTGTGTACAGAGGCTGGGAACATCAGTCTACACAACACACAACCGGGCTCAAGTCTTTGACTTTGTTCCTCACTAGCTCTGTGACCTTGAATAAGTTACTTAAGGACCCTATGTCTCAGGTGCTTCATCAATAAAATGGGAATGCTAATAGCAGCACCCATAGAAACCCAGAAGATCAAGAGCATTGCCGTCCATAAAGCTCTTAGAACATTGCCTGTAGTAAGCTTTGGCTATTCTGATTCCGTTGAATCTTCACACAAAGCTCTGAAGTAGATCTCATTAACTGTGGAGGCTCCGGGAAGCTGAATGACTCTCCTGAGATCCCCAGGTCTGTTTGATTGACAGAGCCTGAGTGTCCTTCTAAGTGCCCCTAGCTGTCCCCATCTTTGGGAGGATGTAGATTCGCAAAAGCTAGCTCTTGTGTCCCATAGCCATTCTGGCTTGGAAACCACTGCCTCTGCACCAGAACTGGAACAAAAGTGATCTCCACCCTGCCTCGGAGGCCTGCCGGATTGCCCCCTGGGCCCAGCCCGCAGGTCCCTCCCACAGACTATGGCAACAGCCAGAACTGGGAGCCTCCTAGGTGCTACACCTGCATCAGCCGCCCCAGGCCTCCCTTGGGGCCTCTCCCTTCAAACCACAGCGTCCCCACCCCACCCCCACCCCAGGTGGGATGCTGGCGGCTCAGCCTGGAGGGACCCTTCTAATTTCCAGGATAAACAGACTGTCATCCTGGCCCAGCCCTCTGCGGGCTGGCTGCTCCCCGCCCCCTCAATCCGCAGTGCACAGCCCGCTCTGTTCTCCTGCCAACTTGGCAGCTCACTGCTGCTGCTGTTACTATCAACACCTCTGAGGGAAAAGGGAGAGAAGTCGGCTCTGATCGCCTAGTGCACTGAGCAACAAATTCACGTTGAGCCAGAGCACTCTGGAATGTCTCCCAAGCTCCGAAGGCTCCGGGTGGGGCAAGGTAGGATCCGTTTAACAGAAAACAGATAGTGCTGGAGATCAGCCGTGGGTCGGATCCGAACAGCCCCCTAGCAGGACCACTGGAACCAGGCGAGGACACAAAAACACCCCCCCGCCCCCGCGCGCGCGCCCCCGCAGCCCCCACCAGGGAGTGCGGAGCTGGGTGGGTGGGTGGGGGTGGGTAGGAAGAGCTGCTGGAGGCTGCGGCCTCGGAGGCAAAGGCGGTAAATGGATCTTGCTTTCACCTCAGCCCTTGCCACAGTCCAAGGAATGTGGATGGCTTCAATTCAAGCGATGGTGGATCAGGATTTTGTGGTCTGAATAGGAAAATGTTTTGTTTTGTGGTCGTTTTTCATTTTGTTTTTGTTTTTTTCCTTCAGACTGTCAGTTTAGCAATGTGTGGACTGGGTCTTTTCCTTCCGTCATCCTTGGACTCCTCTCCCAGTTTAGACTGGGAGCCGGAGGGAGCTCACTTTCTAAACAGTGGGAAGCTTTCCAGGGTCAACCTTATCTTTTTTAGCCCCCCCCCCCCCAACAGTGCCACGCAGGCCCAGCCCATTGACTTCATGAAGCTCCTGGTGCCTGTCTCTGTCTCCTGCTAGGGCTCCCGGGACCCAGTCGTCAAGAACCAAGAACTTCAAGGACCCAAGGCACAGTGCGCTGATAGATCAGTCACCCATGTCCTACAGGACCAAGAGGTGATCTCTGTGCAGCCTTTCCCAGGAGGAAGGCCTTTCCAGCTTTCTCTCTGCTAGCTAAGGTAAAGCCTGTACTTCCTGCCCTAGGGCTTTTGGTATCAGCCGGGGTGATTGGCTCAGTGGACTCGCCTAAATCCTACACCAGCAGGCTGCCCAACCCACCCAAGAATGTGGTCCCGGTTCAAAGCCCCTTATAATCAGCCTGTTTGCTTTTCCATAACACACAGGGAACTTCAGGCACCTCAATGGGCTACAGACTACAGGGATGAAGACGTGAAAACGATGTCTTTATACTGACTGGGTTGTGCTCTCCTCTGCCCTCTCCAGATGTGCCCTCGCCCAGATGTGAAACTGATAGTAAGATAATTTCCAGCCCCAGGGATCTGAAAGCCCTCACCTTCCTGCTAAGAACTACCCAGCTCCCCAGAAAACCTTCATACTATCCCGGGGCCTGGCCACAAGAAAGAACTCACTCTGCAGGCTGGAATGGAAATAAACCCTGAGAGGCTGTGCCATTCCAGGCTGCACCTGTGAGCAGCCCCTCAGATGATGCCCTGTCAGCGTTTCCATGACAAACTCGTATTTCCGGATGCTTCTCTTCCAGCTTGAAGAGCGTGCCTCTCGGCGAGGCTTGATACTGAAAATGCATTCATAATTTTTTTCCCAAAAAAAGATTGCACGCTCCATAAAAATTTACACTCTCCGTATATGTTTTTGCTCTTTATTCTGAGAGTTTTGGAGTTTAACATTTGTTATGGGTTACATGAAGATATCTGAAACACACATTGGCAAGGTCTGTGGTGCAGAACTACCGATGAATATATTCTACACGATGTGGTAAGACCTACCCCTGCAGGAAGACATCTTCTGCCACCCTTTGCTTGTCTCAAGGCCTGAAATTCCAGTAGCGTTTTCTACTTTTGTGCTCGAAAGAGTCCCCAGCCCCAAGTGTCCACTGTGACAATGCACATCCCTCTAACAGCTGACTCTGGAAGGCCACCAGCTCCCAGCTGATAAGGGGTGAGTAGAACAATTGTGAGGCATCTGGAAGGTCAGGGGAAGGGCAGAAAGGGCCGGAAAATAGAAGGTGGAAGTTTCTGGACAGGTTACGTATTTTATAGTTTAATATTGGTAGGCTTACCTCTAAGACACGTGTACGCATGCATTCACACACAGGGACACACATACACAGGCACATAGAGACACACGCTTGCACAGAGAGAGGGAGAGAAAGAGGTGTAGACGTGCACACAGAGAGACAGGCACTGGAGCAAGCAGACGTGGAGAGGAGCTTGTGCACACACAGAGATGCACTTGTGCACACACGGATGCACTCCTGCACACAGAGACAGAGGCAGAGACATGCATGCATTTACTCACCAGTGAGAGAGAGAATGGTCCTCTGCCTTCCACCTGGGCTGCGTCATGCTGACCATTCCCACAGTTAAAAAAAAAGTTTCAATAACTAAAAGTAACTTTAAAAGGAATTTCCAAGGCTGGAGAGATGGCTCAGTGGTTAAGAGCACTAGTTGTTCTTCTAGAGGAACCAGGTTCAATTCCCAGCACCCACATGGCAGCTTACAACTGTCTGTAACTCCAGTTCAAGGGGATCTGACACCTTCACACCAATGCACATAAAATAAAGTTAAAAAATAATAATAAATAATAAAAGGAATTTCAATCATTTTATCTTTTAAATTGTTTAAGATAGTCTCATGTAGCCAGGCTGGCTTCGAACTCAGTATTCTGTTTCTCCCACATCCACTTCCAAGTGCTGGCATTACACATGAGTGGGCTACTACATCCAGCTTAGGGTTTGTTTTTTTTGACACAGGATTCTCTGTGTGTAGTTCTGGCTGTCCTGAAACTCCATTTGTAGCCCAGGCTAGCCTCAAACTCACAGAGATCCACCTGCTTCTGCCTCCCAAGTGCTGAGATTAAAGGCGTGTGCCACCACCGCCTGGTTCCAGCTTAGTTTTGTATTTCCCTATTTGTTTTCTTTTTTTTCTTTTATTTTTTTAATTTTTTTATTTTTTAGGTTAGTTTGTTTAGTTTTATCTTTTGAATTGATAGGGTCACTTTGCAGTGTTTTCTTAAAGTACCTTTCTCTCATATCCAGAGCTTTCACATGCCCAAAGCTACCATTCTCTAGCACTCTAGCATCTCCACAAGGTCAAAACAGAAAACTCAGTTATGTCCCAAAAGAAGACCAAGTTAGCCACCAGCAAACTCCAGCGATTCTGGAAAAGTCTTTCCCTACCCTAAATCCACATACATTCCCGTTCCCATGCCTGAACCGATCAGACTTGAGCACACTGTCTTCCGAACTGACACATCACTGGAAGGGAAGGATAACTCTGCCTTAAGGCCAAGTGTAAATATTGCTTCCTGAAAGAGGTTCAAATTGATTAATATTTCCATTATGTGCAAGATGCTGCACTAACCCCACTGGACGATGTTTCAGTCCCAGCTCTTACCCTTGAGTATGAGTACATTGAGTACCAAGGGAAGGAAGAAGATGCTGAGAACTGGGGAAAGATGTACCAAAAGTGGGGCTGCAGGACAGGTCTGTCAGCAAAGTGCTGGCCCTGCAAACATGAGGTTCTGTGTTTGATCCCCAGCTCCCACATGAAAACCCACATGCTGGCCATACCACAGCTGGAGACTCAGAGACAGTGGGTTCCTTCCAAATCCGTCTGCAATCTTGACAAAAGAACCCTGCACCTCACGGGGAGGTAGTGAGACACACCTTTAATCCCAGCACTCGGGAGGCAGAGCCAGGCGGATCTCTGTGAGTTCAAGGCCAACCTGGGCTACAGAGTGAGTTCCAGGAAAGGAGCAAAGCTACACAGAGAAACCCTGTCTCGAAACCACCCCCCAAACAAAAAAACAAAACAAAACAAAAAAACCCTGCACCAAAAAAACCAGCTAGGCAGCTCCTGAGGTCAATGTCCTCTATTGACCTCTGACTACATGCATTCACATCTAGGGTGCATGCACGCCACACACATATATACACAAGCATCCATGCACATGCACACAGAAGCCCAGAAGGAAGAAAGACTGCTCATTCTGGGCTCTGGAGAGGCTCTGACTTAGAGAAACAAACAGGAGGCTGACGCAGACAAGGTCACACGGAGGATAGAGAAGAGAGCAGAAGATGCAGAGAGTTAAAACGGAGGCACACTCTATCTTTCAGGACTACAAAAAGGGAGAAAGAACCAGTCATGGTGTCTCATGCCTTTAATCCCAGCACTCAGGAGGCAGAGGCAGGCAGATCTCTGAGTTCAAGGCCAGCCTGATCTATGAAGTGAGTTCCAGAACAGCTGGGGCTACACAGAGAAACACTGTCTTGAAAAACCAGGAAAAAAAGAAAAGAAAAGGGAGAAAGTGGGTCTAGACAAGTAGAGAAGGAGCAGCAAGTGAGGCAGGAAGGTGACTCCAGAGTCCGGGGAGCAACTGAAGAAAGTGATGAAGACAAAAAGAAAGGATGGGTCGAGCAAGAATGGAAAATGAACCCTCAAATCTGTCAACATGGAAGTCGTTGGGGACCTCAGGAAACGTGGTTTTGATGTCACAGTTGGGACAGAAGCCTGCTTGGAGTGTAGATAGAATAGAAGTGGGGAAGTAGAAACAGTATAGATATATCTTTTCCTTTTTAGAGATTTATCATTATTTAAAATCTTTTTATTTATGTTATGAGTGTTTGCCTGTGTATACCACAAGCATTTCCAGTGTCCACAGAAGCTAGAAGAGGGTATCAGCTCCCCGACGAGTGGAGTTATAGATGGTTATGAGCAGCCATTTGGGTGCTGGGAATCAAACCCAGGTCTTCTGGAAAAACAGCCAATGATCTTAACAGTTGAGCCATTTCCTCAGCTACTATTCTTATCATTTAAATTTTTGTGGTGTGTGTGTGTGTGTGTTTGCGCATGTGTGCAGGTGCTCACAGATCACAGGGACATCAGATCTTCCTGGAGCTGGAGTTGGGAGCCACAGGATGTGGGTGCGGGGAATCAAACCCAGGTCCTTTGCAAGAGTCCCTCTGTGTTCTGAGCCATCTGTCCAGTACCCCCACCCCCAGTATAAATTGGCTGTTGTTGTTTGTTTGAAATAGGGTTTCTATGTGTTGTCCCGACTAGCCTGGAACTCACAGAGATCCACCTGCCTCTGTCTCCCAAGTGCTGAGATTAAAGGTGAGCATCACCATGCTCAGTATAGATATTTTTAAACTGTGGTTAAGCGTGGTTAGCAGACAAATGGTGACGTGAATGAGGGGGAATGGAAGGTTTTTTTGAAGATGAGTTTTTATATCCCATTAGTATGCTGATGAGAACAATCCCCTTGAGAGAGAACATTTGATGATGCAGATGAGAGGGTAATTGCCGGAGTGATGCCTGGAATAAGCAAAAGGGGAAGAGAATCCTGTACAAGGGGAGGGGCTGGCCACAGACAGACGCATGGATGGTCCATTCACAGCACATGGAGGGAAGACATCATGTGTGGGTCTGCCCAAGGGAAGTAGGTATTTTTGGTGTTGGATAAGGACTATTTTCTGATTTCTTTATTCTAAGTGGGAAGAAAATGATGTCATAAGCTGAAAGCGAGATGTGGGAAGAGCCACGTGGAGGCCTGGGAAGAGAGGATACATCATGTAAGCAACCACAAGGATTAAGAGCATTGGTCCAGCACGGTGGTGTACCCCTTGGATCCCAGCTCTTGGCGGGCAGAGGCAAGTGTTTCTTTGTAAATTCAAGACCAGCCTCATGAGTTCCATGACAGCCAGGGCTATGTAGAGAACCTGTCCCAAAACACAAAAAATGAGAGAAAGAGAGACTGAGCCACACCTAGTTTCTGTGCAGTGTTTAAACCCAGGGCTTCATGCATACCCAGAAAGCACTCTACCCAATGAGCTACATCCCCAGCCCCTCAAGTACTGCTAAATGATGAAGATACATTCTGAGAGGTGTGTCAGTAGGTGATTTTATTTTATAGAGTTTACTTGATGATTATGGTGTCACTAGGTGATATAATCTTAAGGGACTCCGACCCTATGAATGGCCCATCATTGATAGGAATTTTTATCTGTGCATGACTATAAGGTTGAATGAAATCACAGAGGCAGGACTCTGCTCTGATAGGAGTCATGTCCTGTGTGTGTGCGCATATGTGTGTTATACACATTTGTGTGTGTGGCTGTATGTACCCTTGTGCACTCATGTGGAAGACAGAGAATGATTCTGATGTCTTCCGCTAGTACTCTTTTTTTTTTCTGAAGATAATGCTTTAATAATTTTTATAAAAATATAAGCAAGTGATTGCTGCCTTTTAAAAACAATCTATGCCGAATAGGACCCAAAAGTTCTTGAATACATTTTTCAGCTGTTGTAAATGAGACTTAAAAGTTGGGTGAATTTCTCAAGTAAATGTCAAAGTTAGAATTCCAGTCTTCAAAGCACATGCTCTCCACAGGCATCACACTTCCCAAAGGCTGCAACTCCATGGAGAACCTCTAAATTCTCAACACTCTCAAAGACACTGAAGGAAAAAGGCTACTTGTTCCATTGCAGTGTCACATCACTTCATTCATACTTCCAGCCAGAGTTAATCTGTTTGCTGTATTGTCCACACTCTGTTCTACTGCCCTGCGTTTCTCTCCTTCTGGTAAAAGCTTTTGTCCCAAGATGAATTCCGTGGTCTGTGTTAGCAGCTGGTTTCTTGGAAGACCCAACATGCTATGGCACTCCTGAAGGCCTTAGGGTAGGCAGCCTGATTACACTGTCCAAACCTCATTCCTGTGGCACGGGTCATGAAGCCTTTGAGTGATTAAACTGGGTTTCTGAGAACTGTCATTGTGAGAAAAGGGAAGTTTGCAGAGGCAATTCTATGCAAAGTATTATATAACCAGTAAGCAGGGATGGTAAGACTCCAACCTTTCTGTATCTGAAGTTACCGCTATTACTCTTTATCTTAGTGGTTTTTGTTTGGCTAGTTGGTTTGGGTATTTTTGTTTTGTTTTGGGTTTTTGTTGTTGATATTGTTTATCTTTTTGAGACAAGGTCTCTCTGTGTGGCCCTGGCTGACCTAGAACTCCTTTGTAGATGAGGCTGGACTTGAACTCAGAGATCCACCTGCTTCTGCCTCCTGAGTGCTGGGATTAAAGGCGTGCGCCCGCCGCCCCGATGTTTGGGGGTTTTTTAGAGGGAGGATATCGAGTGCGTTGCTTATTTCTGGCTAGGTTAGCTGCTGGCTGGTAGAGCTAGAGCCCCATTTCCACCTAACCCTCGACACAGGTTATAGGATGTGTAGCTATCCCTAGCTTTGCTGTGGGTCCTAGGGATTTGAACCCGGGTCTTCTTGCCTTCACAGTAAGTGCTCTTACCCACTGAACCACCTTCACAGCTCCAAGAGTCCTGTCAAATTAAAAAAAAAAAAATTAATTTTGTTTTGTTTTGTTTGTTTGTTTCGAAACAGGGTTTCTCTGTGTAGCTTTGCACCTTTTCCTAGAACTCACTTTGTAGCCCAGGCTGACCTTGAACTTACAGAGATCCGCCTGGCTCTGCCTCCCGAGTGCTGGGATTAAAGGTGTGTGTCACCACTGCCCAGCTTTTAATTTTATTTTTAAGACTTGTTCTCAGGGCTGGAGAGATGGCTCAGTGGTTAAGAGCGCAGACCGCTCTTCCAGAGCATCAACAGGGCAGCTCACAACTGTCTATCACTCCAGTTTCAGGGGACCTGACACCCATGGAAAAACACCAATGTACATAAAACAGAAATATATATATATATAAAGACTAGTTCTCACTATGTAGCCTCTAACTCGTGGAGATCTGCCTGCCTCTGTCTCCCAAGTGCTGAGATGAAAGACGTGGGCCGCCAGTCCCTATGTGTCCTTTAAGATGAGAGAGCTCAAGGCGCTCTCTCCACCTGCCTTCAGTCAGTGCACGCTCTCAGGAAACACCACGGGGAGAGAGTGAGTCCTTCGCAGAAACCGCACTGACCAGAACTTTGATCTTCAACTTCTGGCCTCAGAACTGTGAGAGAATACATTTTGATTATTTCAGCCATTCAGAATGTGGTATTTTGCTAGGACAGCCTAAGCAGACTAATACAAGTTTCAGAAACCATGCAGATCTAGTCTAACATCCCACAAATGCCCAGACTCTATGTCAGTGTTGGTTTTGTTTGCCTTTGTTTTTTTAATGGATGATCTGAACTCTTAGACCAGGCTGGCCTTGAACTTTCAATCATCCTGCGGTCAGCCTCCAGGCCTGGAGGCTTACATCACATGACACTACAGCCAGCTTACATCAGAGAGTCTATTGTGATGGAATACCGAGTAACCTGAGGAGCCAAGGAGGTGATGGTATGGTGGGCTCAGTGGTAGGGAGGGGTGGTCTCGGCCGCTGGAGGTTTGTAGGGAGTGTGGGTAATGGCGCCCACGCTCTGCCTCATTACGATAAACTCAGTGATTAAGGTGGTTTCTTAGGATCAACAACAACAAAAAACAAATGGAAATTCTTTGGTTTTTAAGAGCTGTGTCAGGAGCTGGGCACAGAAACAAAATATGAGGCTGGCCAGATTTAGTGGATGAAGGGACTTGGCACCAAGTCTGAAGACCTGAGTTTGACCACCAGTACTCACAGGGCAGAAGCCGAGAACAGATTCCTGCAAGCTATCCTCTGCCTTCCACACATGCACGCTCTATGGCACAACTGAGTCCCTCCCACGTGCAAACCAACTAAATGTGTACATGTAATTTTTAAAGTATATTTGTTCTTACCACAACTTGTGGAGAAGGTGATAAATGATGTGAGATACTCTGTTACAGGGGAAGCCACTGACAGACAGAATGGTTAAATGAATTGCCCATAGGCACACAGCCTAAGGATCCAAGGAGACAAAGTCAATTGTCTTAAATGGAAAAAAAAAAAAAAGAAAAAAAAAAAAAGCAGGCTGTTAGAGGAAGTTCCAACTCAAAACGTTTTCCTTTTTTCTTTTGTTGTTGTTTGAGACAGAGTCTCACTATGTCGCCCTGGCTGTCCTGGCATTGACTATGTAGACCAGGTTGGCCTCAAACTTACAGAGATCCACCTGCCTCTGCCTCCCAAGTATTCCCTTTATTCTTATTTTATAAGCATGGGTGTTTTGCCTGCATATTATATCTGTGCACCAAGTTTGTGCCTAGTGTCCTCACAGAGGCCAGAGAAGGTTTTGGGTCCCCTGGGACTGGAATTACAAGTGGTTGTGATAGAAATCAAACCCAGTGCTTTTGGCTGCTTAGCCATCTCTCCAGCCCCAGAAGGCATTTTTCTTTACTTGTTTATTTTATCCACAGGGCCTCACTATACAGTCCCCGCTGTTCCGAAATTCTCTCTACAGACGAGACTGCCCTCCAGCTCAGAGATTCTCTGGCTGTCTCCCCAGGGCTGGGGTCAAAGGCATGTATCACCATGTGCTGCCTGAAGCCAAGGGATTTTAGACGAAGTGCCAACATTCAGTGGGATCTGCTCCCGTTCTTCCTCCTCCTCCTCTGCCTCATGCTCCTTCAGTCTGAGATGGTTTCCGTTACTTACAACAAAAAAATGCCCTGACCGAATTTATTCCAAAGGCACCCAACAGCCTGTGAGCTGTGCAAGCTAAGAATGACTGGGGAAAAAATATCCCAAGGACTAATGGTCACATTCTGCTTTGGGAAAGAACTATTCGAGTCTAAAATAGAGGCTGTGGGGCATAAACTGAGAATTGAGGGCAGAACAAAGGGAGTTGCACTGCTTTGCTAAAGACTGAAATTGGGGTTTTAGGGTTTGGGCTTTTTTTTTTTTTTTTAGTTTTTTTTTTTTGTTGTTGTTTTATTTAATTTATTTAATTTATTTATTTATTTATTTATTTATTTATTTATTTATTTATTTATTTATTTGGCTTCCTGAGAGGAAATTTTAGTTTGCCTCCAATTTGTGTTATGCCCAGATTGCAGGGACCCCCAAAAGACTACCACGGAGACCAAATCCCATATGTAAAAGCAAAGAGCCTTTATTTTCAAGCTGCATCCTGGAGCTTGGATTCTCTGTCCCATGCAGTGGTGAGAGCAGAGAGCCCCGCCCGGTGCGGGTAGGGTTTTTATCATAGGACCCTGATTGGCTGACATTTGTCTAGGGGTATAGGGAATGTTTGGAATGTCAGGTATTTCCACTTAGGTATGGGTCCTCCCTGGGTGGGGTCATCTCATGGCCTTTTCTGGATCTGAGTGTCACCTGTCAGGGAGCCTGTCACAGAAGCTGTGTCTGGGCCTCTAAGCCTGTCATGGCAGTTGTGTGGTCAAGCTGTTTTGGGCTTTATTATGAAGTGTTATCTTTGTACAGTACCCCAAATGTGGATCATATCTCTGACCTCCTGAAGGCCAAATCTCAAGAAATTGACTGGTTTCAGTACGTGGGTATTTTTTGTTTTTGAGACAGGATCTCACTCTATGACTCTCCAGAGTTTTCTTTCTGTAAACCAGGGTGGCCTGGAGCTCACAAAGATCTGCCTGCCTCTGCCTCCTAAGTGCTGGGATTAAAGGCATTGGGCACCACACCCAGCATCACACAGACACAGTGAGGTTTGCTTTGGCGATTGTTCTTTTTTTATGCTTACGTATTGTTTTATGTACATGAGTGTTTTGCCTGAATGTATTTATATGCAGCACTTCTGTGCCAAGTGTCTAAGGAGGTCAGAAGGCCGCATAAGATCCCCTGGAACTGGAGTTACAAAGGGTTGTGAGCGTCCATGCTAGGAATCGAACCTGGGTCCTCTGAAAAAGTGATAAGTGCTCTTTACTGCCGAGCCAACTCTCCAGGATCTTGTTTTTAAATTTGGAATCAAATTTCTCTGCAGAGAGACTAAAGCAGTTTAGATTTTTACCAGTAAATAAGGATCTTGGCCAGGCGTGGTGGCGCACGCCTTTAATCCCAGCACTGGGGAGGCAGAGGCAGGTGGATCTCTGTGAGTTTGAGGCCAGAGTGAATTCCAGGACAGGCTCCAAAGCTACACAGAGAAACCCTGTCTCGAAAAACAAAAACAAAAAACAAAACAAAAAAACTTGGTCTTAAATCTTTTGATAAATGAAAATTTATTCTGTAGTTTGATGTGACTGGTGACATCAACATTTGTTCTATGTATTTAGAGACTGTGGTGGCTTGAAAAAAAATAGCTCCCAAAGGGAGTGGCACTGTTATGGGGTGTGGCTTTGTTGGAATGGGTGGGGTCTTGTTGGAGGAGGTGTGTCACTGTGGGGGTGCGCTCTGAGGGTTCATATGTGCTCAGGCTATGCCCACTGAGAGTCTACTTCTTGTGGCCTGCATTTCAACATATAGCAGCTCCTTCTCCAGTAAGTCTGCCTGCTCTCTACCATGATGATAACAGACTGAACCTCTGACACTGTAAGCTGCCCCCTCAATTAAATGTTTTCTTTTATAAGAGTTGCAGTGCTTAGCCAGGCATGGTAGTGTACACCTTTGATCTTGGCACTCAGGAGGCAGAAGCAGGCGGATCTCTGTGAGTTCCAGGACAGACAGGGCTACACAGAGAAACCCTGTCTTGAAAAACAAAACAAACAAATAAAAACTGTTGCCATGGTGCCTCTTCACAGCAATAGAATCCTAACTAAGACACTGACCATATCTATGTCTTCGTTTTTTTTTAAGAATCTGTGTGTGAGCCAAGTATGGTGAGACATTTCAATTCCATTACTAGGGAAGCAGAGACAGGCAGATCTCTGTGAGTTCAAGGCCAGTCTGGCCTTCATAGTGGGTCCCAGGACAGCCAGAGCTACATAGTGAGACCCTGACTTAAAAAAAAAATAAAAATAAATAGATTTTTTTAAAAGGTAAAATAAAAATAAAATGCCATCTTGGCTTGGGGATGGATGTAGTAGCTTAGTTGGTAGATGGTAGAGCGCTTGCCTAGCTTGTTTGGAACCCTGGGTTCAATCCATAGCAGCCCTAAAAATTCAACATGATAGTATAAGTACCTATAACTGATATCCAACCACTTGAGAGGTAGAGACGAGAGACAGTTCAAGGTCATCCTCTGCCATATAGCCACTTCAATACTAAAGCCTTGAATTGCCTTCTCCTACAGCTAGGTATGGTGATGCATTCCTGTAATCTCCACACCCTGCAGGCTAGAGCAGGGAGATCATGAGCAAGCCTAGGGCACCCAGGAAGACCCTGTCTCAATAAAAGGAAACTGCTTTCTGCCAGCAGTGGTGACCTCGAACTCACAGAGATCCGCCTGGCTCTGCCTCCAGAGTGCTGGGATTAAAGCCGCGCACCACTGCCTCCCGGCTTGTCTGGTTTTAAAGTATTACCTTCCAGAAAGGGCAGACTGGGCCTAGATGTCCTCTCACGAGGCTCCAGTCCTTCATCCTTTCCACAGTATGTGTCACCGGTGTGCTCCTCTGGGTTGGCACTGTGCCACATGAGGCTTTGGAGAATCCTCAAGGAATACGACCCAAACATCCCTTACTCCATGCTGGTTCCCCAGAGGGATGATGTCTTGATGAATTTCCAACTAAAGCCTTAGTGTGCTTGGACAACAGCAGGTGCTGTGGCTTGAATCTGAACATGTGGTGGTCCCCTGCTGGTGGCACAGTATTGGGCAGTTGCAGAGCCTTTGATACATGGGGACTAATAGAAGTGAGTCACTAGGGTAGGCCATGAAGGGGATGTCCACCCCGGTTCCTACCTGAGCTCTCTGCTGTCCTGATTGGCCAAGAGGTGAGAGGCTCCCTCCGATCCATTTCCCTCCCTAAAGCTGCTTCTGTCAGGCATTTTGTCTGAGTAACAAGAGAAATGACTAATGCTGTGGGTAAAGTCGCTCCAGCGGGGACACAGGAGAGCTTCCCTGCTGCTGACACCTGCCAGACTAGGTGTCAGGAAGGGCAACAGGGTAAAGGGGCCCAGATGGAAACCTTATCACTTTGGACCAAGAACCAGCCTGCCCGTGGGTTCGGCCCAGAAACAGCCTGAGAAAGACGATCCGGGATCTCAGGCTGTTTTTCTTCTTGCATCCTTTCCAGTTCCCTGAGTCCTCAAAATAAACATTTGAGAAAGGTTCCAAGGCCTATAGTGACTTCATGCATATATTTATTGACTCAGGTTTGTATCCCCCAAGATTTGGGAAGGGTTCCCCTCCCTGGCATACCCTGCAGAGACCAGCACTGCTCCAGTGAGTACTTTTGTGCCGGAATAAATGTTCACAAATGTGCAAGGAAGGGCCTCGGAAGAGCAGCCAAGGACACAGGATGTTGAAAACTCTCCTGACCCAGGGCTCCTTTAGGCTGGGCCTTTTTATTCTAATCAAAAGACTGCCGCCCGGGAGATGATTAGCTCACCCAAGGCAAGAACCAAGTCCTGGCTCCATTCCTCCTGTGCACTGAACTGGGCACAGTGGGACCTAAGGAAGTCCTGTACTGACCGCATTGGGTGTACCAGGCACCCAAGGAGGAGGGAGGAGGGGGAGGAGAAGAGAGGAGGGAGGGGAGGAGGGAGCACTGCCTCTAGGCTACTGGGAGGTTCTAATGAAAAGCCTGCCAGACCTTTAAGGAGAGCTCCTCCACCAGCAGGCTCTGATTGCTCATTGTGTTTGGTTATAATTAGCAGCATATTCTGCGATGGCAGAGCAGACAGTGAGCAGGAGCAGGGCTGGGAAAGGCTGCCACCCTCGCAGCCACCAGTCCCCATCTCTGGGCTGCAAAATCTGGGCTCCTCCACTTCTGACCTTGCCTGCCCTGTATCCTCAGGCAGGACCCTGAGGTTGGCCAACCTTGACCGCAACTCTGGGCCAACCCTAAACCCCTTTCATATGCTAAAGAGGAGCTGTCTGCTGATTTAAGAGCATGGGCTGAAAATGGGCACCCTGGGGTTCTAGGCCAAAGTTTTGTCTGCAACAGAGCAGCAAGGTGACTGCAGGTAAGTGAACTTCAGCTTCCTCAGCTATGACCACAGGAGGCTTTTCTAACGGGTGTGGTGAGACTGAGATAGCTCATGAAAGATGATGGTGCAGGGCTGGCTGTGCAGACCTCTGTGCACAGGGGACTGGAGCGCAGAAGCACACAGAGACCCACCCCTTCTCCTTTCTGTACTGTCTCCCTAGCCCAGGCCAGGCTCCTCTCCCAAGGGTACTCAGCAGTCTGCTCTTCTTTCCGCCCCCGTGGCAGCAGCTCTCGTGTGTGTGTGTGTGTGTGTGTGTGTGTGTGTGTGTGTGTGTGTGCGCGCGTGCGCGCGCGCCTTAGTTCTTTTCACAGATGCTTTTTTTATTTAACATTTATTTATTTAATTTTTAATTTTTTAATTTTTTTTGGGGGGGGTGGGGTTCGAGACAGGGTTTCTCTGTGTTGTTTTGGTGCCTTTCCTGGAACTAACTCTGTAGCCCAGGCTGGCCTCGAACTCCCAGAGATCTGCCTGTCTCTGCCTCCCAGTGCTGGGATTCAAGACATGCACCACCACCGTCGGGCACATTTATTTATTTATGAGGGGTACAAACATGCCACCATACATGTATGGAGGTCAGAGGACAATTTATGGGAGTTGGTTCTCTCCTTTCACCAGGTGGGTCGTAGGGATTGAACTTGGGTCGTTAGTCTTGGTGGCAAGCACCTTTATTCACTGAGCCATCTAGCTGGCCGCATGCCTTAGTTAGATCTCAGTTTCTATGTGACTGTGTGACCTGTCCCAGCAGAATGGCCTCACACATTTTAAACTGTGACCTTTGAAATAAAGCTTATGGTACATAGTGAACCCACATAGGTACAAGCAGATAGAAAACAAACTTCATGAAATACTTATCCAAACCAGGCCAGGCATGGTGGTGGCACATACCTTTAATTCCAGGTGGCAGAGACAGGCAGATCTGCAGAGTGAGTTCCAGGACAGCCTCAGCTCTGTAGCGATCCTTTCTCTCTCTCTCTCAAAAAAAAAAAAAAAAAAAAAAAAAAAAAAAAAGAGAGACAGAGAAAAGTAAAAAAGAAAGAAGAGAAATACTTATCTAAACCAAGTGCAATGCACTCTGATCTGTTCTGTTTTCTATCAAATGTATCCATGTATATATAGTATATAATAGTTTATATGTGATATATTATTGATATGTTTTGATCACTCTACTCAAGTTTTACTGCATATAAAACAGCCTTGAAGTTTTGCCAAAATTCAGGACCTACATCTGATTTTATGACAACAGCAGACTGAGACCAATATAACCAAAGCACCCCACATGAAGAGGCCAGTTATCTCTTACATTATGGATGTCCAAGCTGGGCAGTGGCACACACTGTTAATCCCAGTGAATGAAAAATAAATAAATAAAAGGAAAAGAACATGGCTGGTCCCAGGTATCAGCACCAGATGAATGAAAAAAAGAAAAGGGAAGGAACATGGCTGGTCCTAGGTACCGTGGAGTAGAAGGTTTGTTATGGATATGTAGGAGAGCACAGCCAGAGGCAGGGACCTCTGGGAGAGTCCAGAGTGGACATGACCTGCGGGGCGTTTACCCACCAACCCCACAGCTCCCCAGAGTTTTCTTGAGTGTGGGCAGCAGGAAATATTAGATAGAAGGATTTATTGTGGAGAATATTGCAGAGATAAACAGAAAATAAAGGATAGCCTGGAGAGGGCCTGGAACCTATTCCAACGGGCCCCGACTGTCTCTGCCCCAGGGTTTTTATAGAGACGCCAAAGGGTGGAGCAAAAGACCTCCTCCCCCAGCACAACCAAGTGCAGACCATCTCAGACACCTGCACTCAGGCCCGTGGTCCTAATCATCTTCTATGCAGAAAGCCACGAGGAACCCGAGAACGGGCTCCCACAATGTCCCTGAGCCATGTGGGGTGGGGTGGAGGTGTGAGGAGACAGAAAAGAGGTACAACAGCCAGGAGGCCCAAAAGAGAGTACACAAAGGGGCAGGTAACTAAAAATGGTTGGATTATATAGGGAAGGACCTCGAGGGTAAGGGCTGGGTAGGGGTATGTCAGCCAGGAGGACCAATGACAGGTAGGGACTGAGAGTTGCAGGGAGAGCCTGGAGGCCAGCATCTGTCTTGATATGTTAAACAGGCCCCTCAGCTATGTGCACCAGGTTTGAGACCAAAACCCAGCACTCAGGAGGCAGAAGCAGGCCCATCTCTAGGGGCCAGCCCGGTCTACAGAGCAAGTTCTCAAAACACACAACAAAAAAGACTGTTCTCTACTGAAGGCACTTTTACTGTTATTGTGAGAAAGAATTCTAAGGAACTGGAAGCTCTCTCTACAGCCACTGAGGTGGAATGGTGGAGATCTGTGCCAGTCCACGACAAGGGTGAGTTTTTATACGTTTTGGGATCTTCAGAATCAAGCTGTTGCCGTCCTTTCTCTCCCACCTGCAAGCTAAAACTTAGGTGGGGTTCCTGCAAATCTTCTAAATGCCACAATGCCGAGGTGCCAGGGAAGGTCCAGATTTATTTAGTCTTGGCCAGACAGGAAATGCTCTAAGCTAGGATTGTACTTAATGGTTTTTTTCCATAACAAAATCAGGGCATGTGGCCTCCTAAGTACTTCAGAGGACAATAGGCTAAAATGGTTTAGAACTGAAACTGTCCTGGAAAGTCCCCAATTTGTGGTCACGTGGTTACCTCGAGAAGTGAAGAATTCAATGCCAAGAGAGTCCTTAGGAAGGGGACCCCTCTTCCCTAAGCATTCAGGTCCTGCCCTCTAATTTGGGGGGAAAGTCTTGGGTTTCTCCAACTCCCTGAAATACTAGAATCTTCTAATACCTTTGATGGTGTTTCACTTTGGTGGGTTTAAGTTTTTTAGAAGGACTGGACCCTGAGAGGTAGAAATGGAGAGTGAAGAGAGGCAAGAGCCCTCCAAAATGTTGCCAGTGTTTCTCACAGCAGCTTGGACGGCCAGATCATTCTCCCCTGGCCTGGGTCCACGCCTACCTCAGTTCCCAGTACACACACAGCTCCCCCTACACCACTACATCTACCCAGTACCCTTAGCCAATGCTACCATCAGCAGCTTGGCTGTAGCCAAAGGTAGCTACTGCTGTGGAAGACTGAAGAGAGACTGGGCTGGCCTGAGAGTTCCCAACTGGCTCCTTTCTTCCTGGAGCAGTTCCATGAAAGAGAGTGATGTAATAATTACCTCTGGGACCTCAAGCTCTAAGGTTTGACAGAAAATTCTGAAGCTTGAACAGAAAAATAGTTCTATGAAAGGATCTATGACCAGCTCCTCCAGTCTTCTCCATCCCACAGTGTCTCCTCCTTTCAGGATGGATTAGTTTTCCATTACCCTAACAGAATACCGAAGACTATAGATACTTTATGAAGAAGAGCGGTTCTGGAGATGCAAGGTCACGGTGCTAGCCTCAGCCTGGCTCCACTCAAGGCTCCTGGTGGATGACAAGTGGCCAAATAGCGGGAGCTTGTGCAAGACAGAGATTACGCAGCAGACAGGAAGCCGGAGAGAGCCTGGGGGCCAGGGGAGGGGCTTCCACTAGGCTCCGCCCCTTCAAGGTCCCACTGCCTCTCAATGCTACTGCACTGGGACCAAGCTCTGAACATCGGAATCTCAGGAGGGAGGAAACACACCCAAGCCACAGCACAGCCCTGGCTACACACACTTCCCTCATCTCCACTTCCCAGCTGCATACCTGGCCAATGAGAATGGTCATTTCCAGACGTGAGCCTTATGTGGTATCAGAAAGCTTGGAGTGGCGGGGGGGGGGGGGGGGGGGGGGGGGGGGGAGGGGATGGGGGGATGGAGGGGATGGAGACACCAACATGTCTAGATAAAGCACTCTGGGAACCCAGCTTCTTTCCCATAGATCCCAAGGAGATACAGCAGGGCAGATGGAGGGGTCTCCCAAGGCCTCTTTCAACCCCATTGATCTCCTCCACCAGGTAGCTCAGCTCATGGGATCAACATGGCAGTCCCTAACCACAAGGCCAATATGAAAGTTCCTTTAATCATTTGCTCCAAGCTGCAACCCCACTCATCCTTGGCCTCGTACCTTCTGGAAGCAATGCCTTTAATTAAAACCCCCTGACTGCTGTTGCTTTCTGCCATCTGCCTCCTTTGCACACTTGTTTCCTATGTCGAGGTTTCTGGGAATCTAATTGTCACTAAATTACAGGGTGAGACTAATAGGAGGGTGAGAGCCCAGTTAATGGTGCTCTTTTCCACTAAGCAACAATTGTAGTAATCACCAAGCCAAAGGCTCCCGAGCATTAACTTGAGGCTGCTGGGGTTTCCCAGCCCACGCTTCCTCCCCACCCCTGTCTGAGCAACTGAATACAGTTCATGGGGCAAATGGAAACCCCAGAGGCAGCCAGATGAAGAGAGATGTGGCTTCGAGGACATGGGAGAAAGCAAGAAATCTCAGGGATAGGAACTTGAGTCACAGCAAAACCAGAAGCAAAAGGAACTGGGCTCAATGTTTCAAACAATAAAAAGTCTTGGAAAAAGAACCTAAAAATCGCAAGGAATTAAAGGAATTCTGGCTCCATTCTGGAGTAATACGGTGGGACTGAGGTAGAACTGGTCCTTATTTATTTCAGCCTCGGCCTGATGGAGGAGGGCACGCCCCTGTGCAGAGCAAATCCACACCCACAGACATTCCAAACAGACACACTCCAACAGCACCACAATCCCATCCAAGAACCTGTGCTTACACTGAGAGCAGGAAGTTCTTCCTTCCTTTCTTTTTCTTTCTTTCTTTCTTTCTTTCTTTCTTTCTTTCTTTCTTTCTTTCTTTCTTTCTTTCTTTCTTCTTTCCTTCCTTCCTTCCTTCCTTCCTTC